AACTGGCGACTTGGTAGTACAACTTGAGTACGCGGAGTATCTGGGGAGCTGGAAGATGAGAACTGGCGACTTGGTAGTACAACTCCAGTACGCGGAGGTGACTTGCGAGAGGTCAAGAACTTGCAGAAAAAAGGTGTTCCTGCGCGTCAGAAAGACATACAGAGAGAGACACATACACACACAGACATAGACACACACACAGAGAGACCCACACACTGCCTCAACACACTCGACTTAACACTTCACACTGAACACTTAACAGATATATAACTCACACTCTGACTTCCTACGTGATGAAAAATGCTTTCGGGCCACTCGTCGTCTAGTTTTTTGTATCTTGTAGCGGAACACTAAAGACATTCTGCAATGATTGAGGTGTAAAACGAGCCTTACAGAAGCAAAGGGCGATAGACAGAGAGAGAGAGAGAGAGAGAGAGTCAGAAGCAAGGTCCAACCGAAAATGTGGGAGGGAGGACTCAGCTTCTTCAAGCGACATTACACATCCCGCATGTTGTTGTTGTTGTTGCTGTTGTTGTTGTTGTGGTGGTGGTGGTGGTGGTGTTCCAATGTGCCCCACCAGGTGTTTCCACTGGGCAAGCGTAAGATCTTGGAAGTTTGCAGTCCGCGTTTCGCCTCTTCATCACAAGCGTTTCACACGCAGTCCATGGAAGCGTGAAGCGCACGTTTAATGGGATCAGATCCAGAACGCTCAAGCCCTCGTCTTCCCACGGATCAGATCGGATGTGATCGGATCGGTCCGCTGGGGGTTCGTCGTTGGACGCCGGTCCGTCCAGACGACGACCGGTCCACAGTCCTGAGGTGAACGCATTGCTCCGCACCAGTCCCACCAGTGACCCGGATCGCAGGAGAAGCGGATCGCGGGAGGAAGTTGGTTTGGAAGGTTTGGAGGTTCTCAAGCCTAGCCTTCACGGTTGATGAGGGTTGAACGGTTGTGTTTTCATTTTTGGATGTGTGTGTGGTTGATGTGCGCACAAGGGTCGGATCTAAGAGTGAATGGAAGGAGGCAGGTGTTTTGCGCTTCCAGGTGCAGGATGGAGTAGCATCACTTCCATGTGTTTGTTCTCATAACAAAGCCATGGTGTGGTGCCAATATATGTGCCCCCCCAAAGAGGCGCCAATCTGCCAAACGATGCGCCAGTTTGGGGGTGCGTCCAGTTTGTGAGCCCTACCCCCCCACACACTGGAGGAACCATGGTTTGTTTGCGTCACTGGACAAAAGCCCTCGAAGCATCTTGAAGTCCAAGATCCCAACTCTTTGGATGGATAATGTTGATAGGTTCTGCTGCTCACAGTGTTCCGACCGAACAACAGGAGAGAATGATACGGTCCCTGGAATCATCATGGAAGTGGACAATCCCCTGTTTGTAGAGAACAAAGTCATCCAACCTTTTCCACTTCAGGGAGTGTAGGCCCTTGCATCCCACAAATGTAGCGTTTGATGGCGTCACATGGTTGCTTAAAGGAAGATCCTTCCATTCCTTCCTTTCCCTTGACATTTTATGGACAATCTTGAAGTCTTAGACCATCCAATCATCTCCACATCATCCCTTGCCCCCAAAACAAATCAACCATTTCCCATCCCGCAGCCTCCCCCAAATCACACCGCGGTCTCCCTTCTCTCATCTCCACCCTGCGCGAGTGAGCGACAACAGGTCCATGGCCCTTGGAGGACTTGGTCCAGTTCATCCCGTTGGGCCTCGAGGACTCTCTGGGGCCGCGCTGTCGCCATAGTGCGGTGGCCTTGGCCGTCACGCTCTACCGTGCCGTGGCGGAGGGGGGCCGAGATGGGAGGGAAAGGGGTCAGGAAAAGAAAGGAAAGAGAGAGAAAGGGCTCAAAGTTCAAAAGGATGATCGTATACAGTAGACTTTGGGTTTGTCCTATTACCTGTAACAGTCAGTAAACAATGATCACTACTTTGGGAGAAGGCCTCTACTAACCATCATCATCCACTGATACAGGTAATAGGATAGATTCGGATAGACCCAAAGTATACTCATGATAGTGCTCATGATATCTCAGTGTTGATGTTGTTGGACCAACTGGGTCATACCGTCCGGTGTCTTTTCCAGATGTTGGGCCATCTAAAGAACTGCACTGCCACGCTGGCGGTTGTGCAAAGTTGAGGTTGGCCCGTTACATGGTCACATTTGCACAACTTTAGAACAGGTCGCTCAAGCCCAACGCAGCTTTTCTACGACTGCAGAAAGCTAGGCATTTAATACCATGCTGGGATTATGTGTGATCGTGATTGGAAGTCCAACCCTCACGTAGTTTCGCAGTGTGGTTCATTGGCAAGAGGACTCAGAGAGTGACCAAAAGAGGAGAAGTGGAAGAAGCTATGATTTGTTTCTTCTTCCGGCCCACTGTATATGTTAAATACCCAGTGGGTCAACGCACCAGTTTAACCGGTCCCAACTGCTCGGAGGAATGGAAAGAATGTGGCAAACTCCTTTTTCACCCATTCCAGGTCAGATCCGCTCCAATGTCTTTTCATCAGAGGATAGCATTCACCCCCAAGTGTGGTGGACGGGGACCTACTTTTTGTTGCTGTAAATTAAAACATTGCGATCGAGTGAGAATGGCTACTCTTCCATCCACCAGCTCACTTCCTCACTACCAATAGCCAAAAGCAACGAGGGGCTACGGCGGGCACGGCGTTCTCCACCGTTCTCTCCACACCCCACCGAGGCCTACACGGCCCGCCCTGCGGAGAGCGGATCCTGCAGCGCTGCGAGCGGGCGGCGAAGCAACAGCTGCTGCGGCAGCGCTTTCGAGAGGTGGACGAAGAACATGGCCAGGAGAGGAGCTGGAACCAGGTGGAACAGACAGACATGCCATGGAACCATGTGGAACAGATATGCCATGGAGCCATGCCACGGTGCAGAGAAATGGGGCATGTTCCGCAAAACAGTGCAGAGAGATTTAGGGCTTCGAGTGCGGAGGAAGCAAGGACGCTGAGCACGGACATGTGAAGAGGGCAA